GAGGAGGGAAAAGGAAACGCTGTCAGGCTTTCACGTTATTTCCTTTAACAATAAAACAGAATTCCAGTAGTTCTTGCGGTGTCTGTTTCCTGACTAGACCTACCTTGAAGGGCTGATACTTCTGCATTAGCAACTTTTTGGAGGTTGTTAAAGCTGTTCCCTTTTTAAGATGGAAAACACTGCATAGTTCTGTTGTTGTTTTTATCAAAGTAACCTTTTAATTTTTTTAAACCTACTGTGTTTATCTAGCATTTGTTATTTTTACATTTCTGTGTTTTTACCGATATTGTGAGCCCCCTGTAACACTATAGAGGATAGGTAGGATTTAAATATTTTAATAAATTAATAAAAGACATAAAGCCAGACACAAGGAAATTGCAAGTTGAGCAACAGGGCATGAATGAAAAGGTCATGAAACAGGTAAAAAAAAAAAATTGCCAGAAGCCACTAGATATCAAGGTGAGGGGTGGGGAAGTTTTGTAGGTTTATAAAGCATAGGGAAGGTATAGATAACTTGGTGCCCTCTAGATGTTTTAAAGCGGCTAATTTTGTGCAGCTTACTTACTGAAGGCTATCTTAACCATGTTTTACAGCAGTGGTTTTATGTACCTGGTTTTATGTATCACAACATACTTTTCTGATTTTATGTATCACAACACACCATAAATTAACCATGTCAGTTGAGCTTGCACAAAACACTAAACTAAAATGTAGTTAGACATGCTTCAAAAATGATTCAAAGAAGTGCTTTGGATCTTGAATGAGCACGGCCTCTTTCTGCTGTTCATGAAAATATGAGTGCCTTTTTTCAGTTTTTTGCACAACAGTGAAAAAGATGTTGCTGCTCAAGAGCATCCACGAGGAGGGACAGATTATGAAAATGGCATTGCAGTGATGTGATACAAGCTCTGGCCCTCTTGTGCATGCTGTGTCTGTTGTACACAAGTAGACATGGAAGAGGTAGAGGTCTGATGGTGTGATGCTATTTTCATCTTTTTGACAAAAGCGCTAGATCCTGTGGATGCCTCTGCTGTTGCTGTAATGAAGTGAATTATTAAAGCAGTATATATTTAATGCAACTCTTAAAAAACAGCAGCATTTTTTTTCAGGCTCTCATGGAAGCCTGAAAAAAAGACTTGCATGATTTAGGCAATCGCAGAGAGGTGCTATGTTTGAGCAAGGTCCAAAGCAATTCTTCCGAAGCATTTTCAAGGTATGCACAGCACTACTATAATGCATTCGGCTAGTTTGTAGATTAATGTGCTGGTGTGAACACATCTGGCTTGCTTATCTGTCACAGTAAGGCAGGTTCAGCATTAATCATCCTTAAGGGCCCCACTTAGCAAACTACAATCAGACATGCTTTGACAATCTACCTTTTCAGCTGGTAACCTAGTAAATTTTGTTGTGCTTAGTCAGCCAATTATTCCTGCTTGTTTTTATTTATTTGAATTATTAAAACAAATCCATGATAGTTCAGTGAGGGCACCACACATGAAAGGCTAATTCACTCCCTAGTCTCTTTGTTTTGAAAATAGCTCCTTATGCACCTGGTGATGGAAGCAGCGGTGAAAAACAGCAGGGGAAACCCTACTACAAGATCAGTTCTGGTTTGTGATTGTATTGTTTTTTCCCTACCAAATTTTTCTGAAGGAATTACTTCTTCTGTCATAATTTAACTAGTAATCTAAGTCTAGTTGGCATGCTGCACTCCAGTTAAGTAAACTAGCCTCCAATAAATTGTTATAAATTGTGATTAAGCTTAACCACAATTTAACCTATGGTTTAGATTTGGATGATAGATCTGATGGATTTGGAAAACATGCTTGTCAGGCCTAGCCCAAGGAACTCCAGGAGACCATGCAGATTCAGTTC